TAAAGGGAAGGTTCCCCAGAGTACATGTCATTAGGCATGTTCCACTCTGGAAGCAAAGGTGTTGATTCCCTGGCAATTGAAGATGCTAGCTATCTGGAGTGCTGGCCCATCTGGGGGCTTACTGGCCCTGCCTATGTGTGGTAGACTGTAGAGTGAATGAGGCTTGTCCATTCAGTATAAATGTGAACATTGAGATGAGAGGATCGTGGGTGTAAAGATTAAAAGAGTCATACAAGTTAAGAGCTTTTGCGGATGACTCGGTTTTGGCAGACCCTTTAAAGGAAATTGAACTCTTAATGAGTAAATTAAAAGAATTTGGGGCATTAGTGGGTTTCAAGAGTAATAGAAGACAAAGATGTTAACAAAAACATGAAGATATAAGATCAAACAATTGATGAATAAAATGGGTTTTAAGATTGAGAAGAAGGTAAAATACCTGGGTATAACTATGACAAATATGAATTGTATGTTATTTCAAAATGACTATATTAAGACATGGAATGAAGTTAAAAAAGATACGTCAAGATGGGACAAACTACAATTGTTACTGTTGGGTAGAATTTCTGTGATTAAGATATTTTATCTAGAACCTTATTTTTGTTTCAGACGATTCCTGTTTTGACAACTGATGTACCATTTAAACAATGGCAGAAGGATATATCTGAATTTGTATGGCAAGGAAAAAAAAAACCCACAAGTCAAACATAAGGTAGTACAAGATGCCAAGGAAAGAGGAGGATTGGGCCTACCAGATCTGAAATTATATTTTGGTGCCTGTTGTTTAGTTTGGATGAAAGTGTGGGTGTAGTTAAGAAATAGAAGGCTATTGGAGTTAGGAGGACATGATCTGAGATTTGGGTGGCATGGATAACTATAGTATGACAAAGCTAAGGTTAATGTAGATTTCAAAAACCATTATGTCAGGTGGGCCATTCTTTGAATATGGAATAAATATAAATTTAGGTTCTGCCTAAACAAACCTTTGTGACTTGCAGCACAAGAAGCATTTTATAGACAAGAAATTATAAGTAAACATAAATGATTAACTTATCATGATGTACTAGAATTTTCTCAAGGGAATTGTAAAATAAAACCAAGAGAAGATTTGACAATAGAAGGGTATCCTTGTCAATGGTTTTCTTATGTACAATTATCAGAAAGATTTAAAGTGGATAAAAGATTTTATGGTTTTTAAGACTGAGTTTGAAACAGAATTATATACTAATGAACACATTATTGCTAAAATGTTAAACTTTTATTGAAATATGAAACAGAACAAGTGAAAGAATATATGATAAAATGGGCTAAAAACTTTGGTTACAATATACAAATGGGAAAATATATGGCTCATTGGATTGAAATTTATATTATGTTCTAACTTTAAAGAGAATTTTTATAAAATGATGTATCATTGGTTATTTGTCACCAGAGAAATTGTCCAGAATGTATAAAGGAATCTTTGCTGGAAATGTGAACGACATGAAGGCACATTTTATCCTGTTTGGTGGATGTGTAAAAAAGCCAAAATTTTTTGGATAAAAATACATATATTAATTCAGAAGTTTTTAAAGTACAGTTGACACCAGAGGCTTTTCTTTTGGGACTAATGGACAGGCAACTAGAAAAAAGTCATGGAACTTTGTTTTTATGTATGACAGCTCCAGCGAGATTATTATATGCTCAAAAGTGGAAAGGGTTGACACTACCCACAATGAAGAAATGTTTGGTGAAGATGATGGAACTTGCAGAGATGGCTAAATTGACTTCTTTGATTAGAGAAAAGACAATATCTGCATTTATGGCTGACTGGAAACCTCTTATAGATGTTTTGCATGAAACAGAAAAAAATGCACTTATGATTTGTGGTTTTGATGATTAGAAAAAAAATTGGATAATAGGAAAAAAGTGAGCTTTTTTCTGTAATCATGGAATAAGAGAACTTTGTAATATTTGCTGCAAAGGAAATTGGAAGCTTCTTTCTATTTCTTTTTACCTTTTTTCCTGCACTTTTCTTTTTTCTCTCTCTGTTCTTTTATTCTGTATTAGTTTGTGTTAATTTTTATGTTCTCTTTAAAACTTTTAATAAAATTAAAAAAAACTATAAATGTGTACACTGGATGTCAAGAAAGCAGACTTTAGTAATATCAGACCAATTATGACAAGAGAAACTCACCAAAAAGTGAGCTCAGGATGAGTGGCTGTTCATAAAAAAGGGAAATAGTAAAAGTATTATCCCAAACAATTCCTGGAAGGGGAGAAAATTGAATACAGAATAAGTCAGTATTACTGTATGAGTACTTATGAATACATACTTTTATAGTTTGCCAATTGTGGATTAGATAAATTGAAATAATCATGAATCAGTCTCATTAATTTCAAGCAATTTGCTCTTCTCTGGTTAACACAGGATAGTAAAGAAACCATGGGTTGTTTTAACCTTGATTTTGTAGTTTATGACTTAATATCTCCAGGTGTCAATGTCCCATGAACAACTACCTTTTATACAAGAGGCTCTACCCCTCACCTAACTTTCTTTGACTTAGGGTCTTTTTTAATTAAAAATAAATAAGTGGAAAGTTAGTAAATTGTAAAACAAAGTGTTGTTCTCAAATATAAGTTTTATTTACCAAAATGTTCCTTGTTGCCATATACAGTTCAGAGGGATCTATGCTTCAGAGAAAGGAAAAACAAAGTTATAGCTGAGTGCATTGTTCAGAAGTGTGCCTTCTTACACAGAAAAGAAGTCCAGGTAACAAGAGTAATGGAAAGTACATCAGAAGGCTTGAAGAAATGGTAGGGACCAATCTCATTGTTTTAACCTTGTCTTCTAATACAAGTGGATATTTTGTGAGGGCAAATGCTCACGATGGCAGTGACTCTGCAAGAATATTGATAATATGCTCTCAAAATTCCAAATGTACTCACAACACAAAATGGTTAGGGATCCATTTTGACATATTTAATTAACACACCATTGAATAGTGTGCTACCTGAACCTATTCTATCACAAAACCTGGAATATGCATTGTGCTACATAATTTCTATGATGTTTCTGTATCTTTAGGGAATTTCAGAGAAATTGGATAAATATGGTGTTCATATCTTTGAAAGAACACTCAAAACTGCTTAAGGAGGCAAAATGGACTGTTTGCTTCCAAGATCAAACCAGCCACATTACTTTGCTTTACCTCACTTCTCTTCTGAGGCAGTTCCCTATAATTGGAAAAGGGTTTTGTTCATGGGGAAAGAGTGCATAGAATCTTCTGCCAGCTACTGTTGATGGGCTGAGGCTAAAAGATGACGCAAAGCATCTCATCAAGGCAAACCAATCTTTTTGCCTCAAAAAAACTGTCACCACAGTGACACAAGGCACCTGAGGTGCATGCCCAATAAAGAACATATACAGGGGAGTTTGCAGTGACTGTCACTGACTTCAAAATGGCAGGTATAACCAAGTAATCAAAGCCCCACTCCTTTCTAATGTGTGTTTCATGTAAAAAAGGGCAGGGCTTCATTCAGTCACACCCAACATTTTGAAGCTAGTGACTGCAGCTGGCATCTGTTATGTGCTTCACAGATAAATTAAATCAAACAGTTCATCCTTTATAAAACAGAATAATCTGAAATATATTTATCTGCACATGATACAGTCCAAATCAGATTAGGATTATTCTGTAGAACCTAAAAACATACACATGCAACAGTTAAGAGTGAAAATACAAGCGTTTTTTTTGTTTAATATGTTCATGTTTAAAGTTACAGCATATATAAAGCCAATTTAATGTCCATGCAGTCAAAAATCAGAATGGTTATAAATCTTGTAAGACACTTTAACAATGAAATCCAATTATTTTATCACTGATACAACCGTTAGAAAGTTACATACATTTGTAAGGTATGACTCATCAGATGCACATCAAAAACACTCTAATAGTTATCAGTTTAACTTTTATTTCTCTTACCCCAAATTGTTTTTAAAACACCTATTTTAATTCAGTATCTCACTAAATGAAAAGGAAAAAAGTAGTTTTAGAGTCTGTAACAAATAAGAAAAGCTCATTTGAAGTTTAATACATCTGATTTTGTAGCATTTCATAAAATCATAAGTTATGGCTGCAGCAATTACATGTTTAAATGTCATCTGAAATGTAGGTTACTAAAAGCTATAATGCAGTAATAATTTCTGTAAGCATAAATCAATCTATTAAATTATGTTCTACATTATGTTCAACAAAAGGCCCTCATTTCCATCATACTGCATTTATTTTCTTAATATAACAGACTAGAAATTATTACAGAGCTGGAGAATCAAAATAAAGTTAATGTATGCAAACCATGAGCAGAGTTCCTGGTGTCCTGAGAAAGTTAGAAACTGACTTGCATGCAAGAACATTTTGAGATTGCAATATACAGCTCATGTCTCAAAGTTAAGTTTTATAACACATGAAACAGATATAAAATTAAAACAGGTTTTGGATTTTGAAGAGTTTGAGTTAACATGCTATTTTTATCTACTGCAATGGATAATAGCTGCCTCATAATAAATGGTATATTTGCATGTGCATTAAGAAACTCCTAAAGAACAAAAAGGTCAAATCAAAATGACTAATAAGAGCGAATAGCTGGTGGAACTGTAGCACAATCTTCTTCATTCAGGGTTTTATCAATTACAGGTCTATAATTCAGGGTAACCTTTAAAAAAAGAAGGGTACATCCCATTAATAAAGTACTATTTGCATATTTTTCCTCTCATTTGCCTTATCAGAATTCCAATTTTATGCTTTAAGTTGATACTAATCAATTCTACAATTTATTATGATTTATTGCCATAAATATTTAAAATATCTATATGAAGAACATTCTGTGAAAGAAATCAGGTCTGTGAAAGAAATATTACCACATTCATGCTGAAATTGTATTTTTTATTTCGGTAACTTAAGTGGCACAACTTGTATAGCAAAATTTTAATTCAAACTTCAGGTCATATTTAACTTCAGTGAATCTTCATTCTCCAGACCAGTTTAAGTTTTACCTACACTGTAAAGTGGCTTAGTAAGTATTGAAACTATTAAAGCCATGCCAACATACTTCTACAAATTTATCCCTAGTTGTATGGAACAAGATAGAAACATGTAAGATGCTGTTCCCCTAGGATCTGTACAGAGCCTTTAACAAATATGCTGACCATCTAAGCAGGACCAAGAGGTTTTATTTAACCTCCTATAGCATGAATAAATAGATTTTATTCATCATCCCAATCTCCTGTCCTACATCAATTGTAGTAGATTCTAGTTTCCTCACCTAGCAGATGCCCAAGAATCATATACTAGAGATGATTAAGTTATTTATTTAAAGCAAAACTGGGAGTATTGTAAGCCACATTGGTGACTCTAAAAAGGCAAGATTATACACATTACACTATTTTGATATAATGATGGTCTAGACTAGGGGTTGGCAACCTATGGCCCATGGGCTCAATCTGGCCCGCCACCCCAAATCATCCAGTCTATAGTCCCAAAAAGAAATACAGGTAATCCCCGGGTTAAGAATGCCCAGTTTACAGATGACCCATAGTTAAGAATGGAGCCTGCTGTAGCAAAATTCAAGTTAAATACACAATGGTTCAAGTTAATTACACAATACTACTTATGCAGTATTATA